CCAGAACGTACCTAAGAGTTCAAATTAAAACCTCAAGACCGTCGAGGAGCTCGGAACTTTCCTAGCATTCTCTGGTGAATATGGCGATCTCGCTGGCCAATCAGCGTCGAGCTCATTTCATGTACACGTACAATCGTTTTTAAAAACTTCGCCCAATTAATTTTCTAGGACATATATTCTCTTTATATTAATAAACATAACATACATCAATTCATGCATACTCTTATAGTAGCACATTAATTTTATTTTTGTAATTTTTTGACATATTACGATAGACTTGGAATTTAGTGTTTACAGTTCCAGCTGATAGAAACGTGTGTGTCGACCAGCCGTCATTGGTGTGTGTCGACCACGACGTCACAACCTAGGAAGCAAAATCAAGGTTGGCAGCTGAGACACAGCGCACCCAAGTTAGTTAGCCTTGTGTTCTCGTAAAGATCTGATAGTCCATGCGAGTACCGGAGAGGTGGGTATCGTGAGACCACCGAGTAAACGTTTATGCTGAATATGATGTTTCTGAAATAACGCTGAACTGACGTATTCAGGACACATATTGCTCGTGTCTGAATGGATATTAGTAACATGAACATTGATGGTGTTACAAGTATTTTCTCTTATTATTGGAAATTAGACCCATCTTAGTTAAAGAACATTAAATTATGTGATTGTGTTTTATTAGTCAAAAATAAACGTACTTGACGGTGATTTTACATGTGCATATTATAAAAATAATATGATGACGAGACAGTGACCTCTGAACTTCCTATACGAGAAAAGGACTTGTAAAAAGCCAGCGTTAAGCTGTATCAAAGCCAAGCCTTAAAGGAATGATAGCCTGCCCAGATGTCTGCTGTTGCATTGGACTGGCAGCATCGATGGAGGCCTAAGCTGCAAGACCTCTGTCTTCGCCTACATAGCCCTCCCCAACTACCTTCCGCTTATGTGCTGGACTCTTTGAGACATTCAGTCGAACTGATTCCAGGTGTCATTCAGAGTACATATTATTCGACGCCACTCCTGTCCTCGTTCCCTCTCCCATCTCATAAGACAGCTACTACTAACAGCGCTTACTTGACTCCAACGTCGCTCATTCCGCCTCGCACGTTTGTGTCGCCGCTTCGTGTCCATAACCCTTTAGTGGTCAAAGAGAGGGACACCCTTCCTTGCAAGTCCCCCTCCCCCTGTCCAGTCTTAGTTCCGAGAATGCATGCCCAGACTACTTCCGGCAACCTCGCCGTCAGTACCATTGAGGACATCGTTCAGCCACGGAAACTCTCATTCCTTCCCCCTGAATCCGCCGCTACCCTCAGCCGGAGTGAAATATCAGCTTCTTTCCATACCCCCAACACCACCACAGTTACCACCACCGTTTCGTCACAGGCAGGAGAACTAACCAAACTGTGCAGCAAAAGTGCGACTGCCACACCGATGGCAAACCCTTGTGTCAGCTCTGTCACGAACGGAAATTCAACCCTTCAGGACGACCACACCAGGAACTGCAAGCACTTTGCCAAGAGCGGAGGACCCCGGGGATGCGCGGGGGCGAAGAACAAAATTGGAGGGTCCGTGTGCTGCCCTAGACGGCGTCTCACCGATGATGAAGGCTACATCCGGAGAGCAGCGTGCATATGTGTCAACAAGGAGGAAACAAAGGTATTTGCAGTATTGGTCCTTGAAGTCCTTGATTTTAGGCATTAGATTCATAATTGTACACGTGCTGCTATCTAAACAAATATATATTTTTTTAATATTTAGTACAGAAAAACATTGTATGTTTTTATTATTGCATTTATGAAGTCAAGGGTAACATGTGTACGGCCACTGAATCGCAGTATCTTGTGCGGTATTGTACATTGCAATTTTAGGTTGAACCGCATTGCATCCGCTCAGGCCAAACCCGGATATCATATATGGACAGCATGATCGTAATAAACACAACATACAAATGCGTTCCACCGTGTTAAGTGGTTCCGTCGGGGCGTGACCCTGCCTCAGGTGCGCATTAAAAGCTTGCCAGTGGTCACTAAGGCCTCACATGACCTTGATGGAACCGTTTACGCCGAAAGTCAGCCTTTAGGTCGAGCCACTAACTCGTGAACAGTTATACCCTCGCCCATCGTGCAAATGCTGGAGGTACAGGGCGTGTGCTTCTTGACTTGTAGGGACGGGAGGCGACGGGGCCCTTTGTCCTCAGGGTGAATGTTGTGTGTCAGGGCTGCATGTAGCTAAGGGGATGGCGGTGGCTCTATTGATGCTGGAAATACTAGGGAAATATTACAATTGGACGTTTTTTTACAAAACGAGTAATGTAACTTATATGAGAGATTTATTTAGAACCCAATAAAAGGTTTATATATAGTAGGGACGTACGTATATATATATAGCTATATTATGATATTATATAAGCTTATTATATGACTATAGTATAAAAAGACGTGGTACATTGTATAATAGGAAAGTATATATATAATTATCATTTCAGCTATATATATATATAATCATCTATATATAACACACACACACCACACACACAACACAAACACACACAACACACACCAACACCATCACAGTATATATTATATATATATTAATATATTATTATATATTACTGCGCATAAAATTAAATATAATTTATATTTTTATATTATAAATATATATATGAATATATATAATTGATATTACTATATATATATTATATATAGCGTGTGTGTGTGGATGTGTGTGAATGGATTATATATACTACTTATATATATATATATATATATAATATATATATATATACAATATATATATCTATACATATATCATATACATATATACATTATAGGATAATGTCATATAATTTTACACACGCGCAAACACACACACATCACACACGACCAATAACGACAACACAACACACACACACCAAATATACTTATATATATATATATATATATATATAATCCTAATATATTTGATCTTATATATCAGATAGGTATATTATTATATATATATATTATAAGTTTATAATTATATACTGTTATAATATATTATATATATTGCGTGTGGTGCGTGTGACTTGTGTGTGTAAGTGCATGTATATTTAATATATAATAGTATATATTATATAATATATATATATATATAGTATACATTAATTATTACATATAGATATACATAATTTACAGTATAAGCTATGCTTATATATTTACCCATCGGCAAACCACAACACACTACACACACGAAAACATATATATGTATAGCCTATATAATTTGTGTGTGTGTGATATAACATATTATATGTATATATATATATATTTATGTATATTAATATGATTATACATATGATACAATTGTTATATCTATATATTTATGTATATTGTAACGTATATATACTATATATTATATATATATATATATAGTAATATATATATATATGTGGTGTGTGTGTGTGTGGTGTGGTGTTGTGTGTGTATGTGATGCCTGTGTGATGTGTCTGTGTGTGTGTGTGTGTGTGTTGTGTGGTGTGTGTGTTTTGTGTGTGTGATGTACGTATGTACTTATATATATATAATATATTATATATTATTATATATATATATAATTATATTTATATTACATATATTATATATTATATATAATATATATATTATATAATATATATATATATTAATATTATATATAAAATGAGAGAGAAGAGAGAGAGAGAGAGAGAGAGAGGGAGAGAAGAGAGAGAGAGAGAGGAGAGGAGAGAGAGAGGTCGCAGAAGGAGAGAGAGAGAGAGAGACGAGATGAGCAAGAAAGAAGAGGGATAAGGAGAGAGAGGACGATAAGAGACCAGAAGAGAGACGAGGGAGAAGAGGAGGTGTGAGGAGAGAGAGAGAGGAGAGAGGATGAGAGGAGAGAGGAGAGAGAGAGAGAGCAAAGCAAATAGATAGAGAAGATGAGGAGAGAGAGAGAGGGAGAGAGAGTGGAGAGACGAGAGAGAGAGAGGAGCAGGAGAGATGAGAGACGAGGGTGATGAGAGGGAGAGAGAGCAGGCAAGCAATCCAAGGAAGAGAGAAAGACGAGAGAGAGTTGAAGGAGATCATGAGAGAGAGGAGAGGAGAGAGACAGGAAGGGAAGAGAAGAAGCACATGCTCAGTTCTGATGAGAGAGATGGAGAGTTACATACTGGATACGATTGAGCAATAGGAAAAGAAAGAGAGAGAGGAGAGGAGAAGAGAGGAGTGAGAAAGATGGAGGAGAGAGAGAGAGAGGAGAGAGAGAGGAGAGAGAATGGAGAGGGGAACGCGCCGCAAGCCTAAATAGTAAAGAAAGACGAGAGAGGAGGAAGACGCGAGAGAGGAGAGAGAGAGGGAGAGAGGAGGAGAGGAGCAGATGAGAGAGGAGCAAGGGAGAGAGAGAGAGACGACGAGAGAGGGGCCCGAGAGAGAGAGACAAGATGATGAGGGAGAAGAGAGAGAGAGAGAGAAGAGACATAGAAAGAGAGAGAGTCTGAGAGAGAGAAAGAGAGCGATGGATAAACTAAGGGAGAGAGAGAACACGCACTAGCGAGAGTAACATTTTCAACAGAGCAGAGAAAGAAGGACACAGCGGCCGCGAAGTGGAGTGTCGCACGAGGAGCCTCAACGGGGATCGTACAAAATAATGATTAACATTCCGGGAAAGGTGAAAGTTCACAATTAATACATAAACGTTTCTTGGCTCGCTTATTTTTCTGCGACTAGCTTTTAATTTCGAGTTTGAGTCGCATTTGTGAATTTAAAAGTATATTATAGAAGAGGTATGAATGAGACTGGATATCTTCACAATAAGAAGATGTAGATATCCAGTCTCATTCATACCTTTTTCTACATTTGTCAACATGGATACGTTTCAATTTAAAGTATCTATTTCGGAAATAAACAGAGCCACAGATCCCCAATCAGTATGCCAGGACGGTGCATTACAGTTTCTACTAAGAACTACTATGTCGAAGGTAAATGCCAGTGGATGCATATTTGAGCGTTCTGTAACGTGTATGGATACATATATCTATGCATACACGCATGTGTGCATATGTATATGTATTCATACATGCAGAAGTACAATACGTACATGTATATATATATGTGTGGTGTATGTTATGTATGTATGTATGTATATTTTATATTATAATATATATATATATGTATATATATATATTATTATTTGTTGTGTGTGTGTGGTGTGTGTGTGTGTTGTGTTGTGTCTGTGTGTGTTGTGTATATATATATCTATATATATACATACATACTACTTATATATACATATATATAATTTATATATATATACATATATTATTATATTATACATACATACATAATTATATATATACATATATATATACAATATATACATACATAACACACAACCACACACACACAACCACACACACACACACACACAACACACAACATATATTATATATATATATATTATATATATATATATATATATTATATTACTATATACATATTATATATATGTATATTATTTTATTCTATTATTTATATATATATAGATTTATATAATATATATATATATATAGATAGAGAGAGAGAGAGAGAGAGAGGGAGAGAGAGAGAGAGTGTGTATGGCTGCGTGCATGTCGTCTAAACGGGTGTGATTGCAATCTGCCATTGAGATAATTACGAACGCAACACATAGCTTTGCTAGCATGAAAACTCGTGTACCATGAAATAGCACACACTTCTTCGTTGTTTGAACAGACATTTTCTCCTCCATAACGTCAACAAACGCAGAGGACGAAGGTCATTAGGGTAGTAGCGAATGGGGAAAATGACCCTCCTGACCTTGAAGGAAAGATAAAACCGTGCCCTTCTCTTTCTCCCGCACGCTAACGCAAACTATCACACACGAACCCCAACACTGATAGCCGGATCTATTATAAACCTCCATAACAGTCACTTTACAATTACGCTCATACATCTTGCGAAATGGATAACGCACTTTAAGCAGAGGGCGTTCTCGCTTGATTGATGGCCGTCCCCGCTCGCGCCTTTGGCCTCAGGGAGTGAAAGGCATAACTGACAAAAGAGACGGTCACCCGCTGGCCGGGAACCTCAGACTATCCTTCCTCGCCTGCTTGCGCTCCGAGAAGAGGATCGCGATGTCCTCACCTGCAGTCCTGCAGCCGAAAGATTCCTCCGTATCTCGGAAGGTTTCCATAAAAGGTCACGGGGCATAGATCGTCACTCTCAGACGATGGTTCGACTGAAAGTTCATGATAAAGGAGGTCAAAATAGCCCCATTCCTCTCCACCATATTCGTAGGAAACGGGAAGTGAAGGTCAGACAAGTGGGCACGAGGTGAAGGGGGGCAAAGAACAACAGGAAGACATCTGCACGAGATCTTCCTTGGGGATTTTTTTTTTCTTCTGACTTGTGTCCTAGATAGAATGATGAGAGATAGTGAGCGAGAGGGAAACAGAGACGCGTACAAAGACCGACCGACAGGCAGATAGGCAGAAAGAAGGAAGAAACAGAAAGAAAAACAAAGAGACTCCAGAGCCAGATATAGATATGTATTACTCGTTTTGATGAACTACAAGACAAAAGTGAAAGGGATAAGCGGAGGAGATCGAGGAAGGGAGAGATAAGACTCACGAACAACTACTCGCAGGAAAA